CTTTTAAAATTTATTAAGACTTTTTTTGTGGTCTAATATATGATCTATCCTGGAAGGTGTTTCACATGCGGTTGAGAAGAATGTGTATCCCCTGCAGCTGTCGGATGGAATGTTCTGAAAATGTCTGTTAGGTCCATTTGGCCTAGAGTGTAGTTTAACTCTGAAGTTTCCTTATCGATTTTGTCTGGATGATCTGTCCATTCTACGAGTAGGGTGCTAAAGAACCTTACTATTATTGTGTCACAGTCTACCTCTCCCTTCAGATCTATTAATATTTGTGCTGTATATTTAGGTGCTCTGATGTTGGGTGCATATAAAATTGTAATATCCTCTCGATAAACCATCCCTTTATCATTAAAGGACCTTCTTTGTTTTTACAGTTTTTGCCTTAAAGTCTATTTTATCTAAATATAGCTATTCTTGCTCTCTTTTGGTCTCTGTTTGCATTTTTGTGTGTCTTTGCTTTCAGTTTAAGTATGTTCTTACTGGTAAAGCAAGTCTTGTAAGCAGCATTTAGCTGGGTCTTATTTTCTTATCTGCTGAGCCACTCTAGGTTTTCTGAATGGAGATTTAATCCACTTATATTAAAGGTAATGACTGATAGGCAAGCTCTTACTACCGCCATTTTGTTAATTGTTTTCTAGTTGTTTTGTAGATCCTTAGTCCCTTTCTCCTCTCCTGCTGTCTTCTTTTGTGACTAAGAGATTTTCTCTAGTGGTATATTTTGATTCTTTGCTTTTTTATTTTGTGTGTGTCTACTATAGGATTTTGCTTTGTGGCTACCATGAGGCTTACAAAAAAACATCTTATAGTCAAAATAGGTTATTTTTCCATTACATTTTTAACTTGTTTTATATTTGAACCATGACATACAAATGGCTCCTGACTCACAATGGATTAACTTATGATTTTCCAGTTTTACAATGGTGCAAAGGCCATACACATTCAATAAAAGCTGTACTTCAAATTTTAAATTTTGATCTTTCCTGGACTAGTGACATGATACTCACAATGCTAGGTAGTGGCTGCAACCTTCAGCTCCCAGTCAGTGATCACAAAGGTAACAACTGATAACTTGGGATCTTTCTGAAGAACATTCTGTTTGCTAAGCCACTGACTGCCGATACCTCAGTGCCTTCTACCAACTACTCTTAAGCCTCCTCAGAAGAGGGAGAAATTGATGACCCTATCACTACAGTATCCCCATCATACAGAAATTAATTTTAGTTCAATGCTTCAAACATTCTTTAGGACCAATGTCCTTTCAGCTGTTATCTTAATGGTGAGTAACTGCACAACCATTCTGTTATTTACTTTCACTACAGTGTTCAACAAATTATATGAGATATTCAACTCTTTGTTATAAAATAAATTATGTGTTAGATATTTCCCAGTTATAGGCTAATGTAAGTGTTCTGAGGACATTTAAGGTAGGCTAGACTAAGCTATGATGTTCAGTAGGTTAGGTGTATTAAATTCATTGTAAACTTATAATTTTGTCAACTTATGATGGGTTTATTAGGATATAACCTGTAACTCATCCTATGTCAAAGAGCATATGCACAGGTACTGACTATATTTCTATTTTTCCAGGAGTTTTTGACTGCCTATATATTTTTTTCTTGCCCATAGAAGAAATACATTCAATCTGAACTGTATCTTGAACATTTACCCCCTTTTCATCATTCTGTTTATTGCTTGGCTTCATTTTTTTGAAGTTCATTGATCTTCTGTTTGAAGTTGGATCAATTATTGTTTAGGATTTATTGTTATTAGACTTCTGGGAGTTAGCTCCAGAGTTTCTTGTAGCCTACATCTTGGTTCTTATACATTTGTCCTGGAATACATTTCAGATAATTTGTTTTTAAATAAATTGAAACAAATTCAATTTGTATTTCAGATAATTTCTGTAGAAGTTTATTAGGGAGGTAAACTTTCTGGGTCCTTACTTCTCTGAAAAGTGATTTCATGTTTACTTTATATTTGGCTGTTAGACTAAAAATAAAATTATAATTTCAAAATTTTATTCCCTTAGAATGCTGAAGCCCTTATTACACTATCTTCTAGCTTTTAATCTTCATAATCGAAAGTCTAATGGACTACTCAGTTTGATTTCATTCTGTTATAAGATGACATATATTCCCCACTACCATCATCCTGTATTCTTGGGACACATTTAGAATTTTCTTTTTGTCTTGGGAGCAATGACAAAATGATCTGCTAGACACAATAATATGTCTAGGATAATTTTGGTTTATCTTGCTTTTAAGATAGCAGGCCCCTTAAATTAAAAATAAAATAGCATCTCTAATTCTGGGGAATTTTATTCTATTATCTCTCTTAATTTTTTCATTTTCTATTTTCATTTTTGATATCTTTATTATTTAGATTTTGGACCTTGGAGATTTATCTTTTAACTTCCTTTACTTTTCTATTATCTTTTAGCTCTTCTTCTTCTTTTGAGATAGGTTCTCACTCTGTAGCCTAGGCTAGGTCCCCAAATTCTTAGGCTCAAACATTCTCCTGCCTCAGCCTCCTGAGTAGCTGGGTCTACAAATGTGCCCCACCACACTTGGCTGATTTTTCTATTTTTTCTGTGTATGTGTGTGCATAGACGTGGAGTCTCACTCTTACTCAGGCTGGTCCTGAACTGGCCTCAAATAATCCTCCCACCTCAGCCTCCCAAAGTGCTAGGATTATAGGCATGAGCCACTGCACCCAGCCTTTTAGCTCTTCTTACTGGGAAATTTCTTACCATTATCTTTTACTCTTTCTACTGAATTTTTGGCTCTGCAACTACATTTTTAATTTGCAAAAACCTTTTCCTTGCCTCTGAGGGATGGAATATATTCTTAAATCTTCTTGTGTTAATCATATAGACTTTAAGGTATTGTGGGTTTAAAAACAAATTTGTAATCTCTAACATCAGTTATTCTGTTGGTTTATTTTCACCTATCTTTCATGCAACCCCTAATCTTGGCTTTAAAAATAAGCTGAAAGAGCTGATTAGAAAACCTGTGGCTGTGTTTGTGTGGAGGGTGGGAGGGAGAGCTAACTCTTAAACTGGTGATTTCAAATGCCAAAGAAGTAAGACTTTCCTTTGGGAAACCCATAGTATCTCAAGCAGTTTACTCAACTCTTTTATAGAGGAACATTCCTGGCTAATAATTTTCAGTTAACAATGATCCTCATTCCCCACCCCCATTTTCAGCCCCTCTTCTCACTCTTGCCCCCTGTACAACTGCTGGCATGACTGTGACTATAGCTTCTTGGGTAGTGAGGCACTCAGTCCCTCTACATATAGTTCAAGTTCACCCATCAACACTCTTCCATCTTCTTTACTCCAGGAAATTATAAGATATAACTAAATAGAAATATAGCCAATACTGAAAATAACTGATACCCTTTCCCCTACAGCATTTTCCTCCTTGTTCTAATCTATTCATTTATAATCATTGCAATGGGTTCTCTAAATGTGTGTGCTTGGTTTGCCATCTTGAACCAGAGGTGATTAGGAACAGCATTTGATACTAATCTGTCCCCTGCATCTCTTTGATTGGGTTGCTTGAATCTAAAAGTGACAGTAATGGTTCTCAGGTGCTGTTCACTAAAGATGGCCCATATCTGTGCTACTGATAGATTTTCAGTTGGGTTCATTGCAGAAAATACTCCCAGAAGCCAGCAAGATACTAATAGTTGACTACTTCATTCCTTTCAGAAATATGACAAGCAGAGAGGACCCTGAAGTGATTCCCAGTACTCCAAGTTTGGATCATTTTCTTAATACAAATATAAGTAAGTCTATCAGGCTAGCAAGTTTCCACCTTAGAAAGCACAGTAATATATATTAAGACTGGATTAATTATCTAGAAGTTATCATAATACTATGATTTACTAAGTTCCCAAGCTAACCTCTTCTCCCCAGTTCACTTTCAGAAGTGGACATAAATTCTACTTGTCAATCAAACCAGAAGTCATTCCTTCCTTCTCTTTTCATCTTATTCTCTTCTCCTTGCCTTCCTCTCTGCCCACCCTCTTGGACACCTTGTGTTGCTCCGTCTCTTCTCTCAGTCCTCCAGAGTCTGCTCCAAGTATCAATGACCAGCATAACTTATAGGCCACCCTCCTGGGACACCTGTGCTTTGAAAGAAGTTCGTGTTTTAAATCAAAATCCCTTGTCAGTATTTCCCAGAGGTTGTATGTTTATGTGGAGTGAGCACAGTCAATTTTGGCCCATCATCCATCTGCTGTGAGTATAGGGAGTGAACTGCTCACATCTGCTTTCTTCTGTAGAAAACTGTCCTTGAGTGAAGGGTTCCTCTTTTGAGAGGTGGTTATACTCCTCTTCCACACCCACACTGATACGGGGTACAAAAGGCCAGTCCTCTTGCCTCAAGAAGAGGACAACTCTCTAATATGATGTGTGCTCTAGAATCCCACAGCTGGACTTGAGGTAAGACCATATCCTTGTCCAGCCTCCTACCTTTCCTTTATAGGTTTCCCCCAAGAGCACAGCCAATATTACCATGTGCTCCCAAATTTCTCTCTCAGACTTTGCTTCTAGGAAACCTGACCCAAAACAACGTGGAAGAGATTTTGGGAGGAAATGGGATATCTTAGTAAAAATCTCAGTTGAATAGCTGGGTGGACATTTCAAACCCCAAACACTTCTCTATGCCTACTATGCACTAACCTAAACATTGCAAACAATTAAGGAATAGGAGCCAAGTGGCCAGTTCATGAACTCAAAAGGACTGTAATTTTCAAAGAGCTTAAGAATTGTCTCAATGTGTTTCAATCCCATAGTAGTAGAAGCAACCCTGAAAATCATATATTTCATCCTTTTGCAGATTAGGAAAGGGAGGCTCAGGGATGGGGCTAGCTGCCCTGGCTGTGACCTCCTAGCAGACAGCCCCACAGCTCTCTCCACTGTTCAACCATTACTCCCACTGTGTGCATCTGACACCTTGGTTCCTGGTTGGGAGCTTTAAGGTTCTGACCTGATTCTTTTGGGCAATCTTATGTCCCTTTTTCCAGCGAAGAACTGGTGTCAGGGCTGGTAGCTCCCTCTCCTCCTCTCCAGTCACATGCTCGGCAAGGCTGTAGGCCACCTCAAACACGATGGGGCTGATGACATCCTGCACCCTCCGCTGAAATAATAAACAAAAACATGCATTCATTACTAATCCCAGCTGACGGTTGTGGAACATTTCACAGTTTACAAAGACCTTCCACACAGACTGCCTCACGTGATCCTTACAATCACCCTTGTGAGGTAGGATTTCCTTACTTTCATATTTTAGATGAGGTAATTGGGGCCAAGGGTGTTGTTAGTGTCTTGCCCAAGGCCACTGCATTGATGCATGGGGACTTTTCTTCTGTACCTCACCTTTCCTTTCTTAAATCATCTTCCTTGAGCATATGGAAGACATTACAAATCTTCCAAATGTTCTTAGAAGCCAGTTGGGAGGCAGGAGAGCATCAGCGTTCACGTTGCTAATCCTTTGCATTCACAGTGTTTTAATAATCAAAGCTCTTCTGAGATAAATATGAATTTTATATTTTGTATTAGGGCAGAGGACTCAAAGACACTGAAGGGTCCAGTGTTGTCTCAAAGTTAGTCATCGGTGGAGCTATAGATGAATATCTGACTTCTGGCCTGAGATCTTTCCTTTGGAATCCAAGAACCTCAAGACCCAGAGGAATAGTAAATTGATGTTTGCAATGGAAAGAAAGGGAAGAGAGTGAATGTGATCTGAATATCTACAAGAAGCCAGCCCCTGTGCTAGGTATACCAGGGATGTGTGTGACATGCCCAAACACTGTGAGCAAAGGCTTATTATCCTCCCTTTATACAAAGGGAAGGTAGAAGACCATTTTCTCCTGGGGTACACAGCTACAAAGTGTTTTGAGTGACATCTGTTCAGCCTGGAGTTCTTAGCCTTTCTGCAAAGAATGCCATGCAAACTCCTCCCTAAATGTCTGTGGGGGACTCTAGGCTCCCACAGTCTCAGGAGTTAAAATCAGAGACAGGAGTGAAGCTGGTGGGTAGTCCCTCATTCTGGGCCTGCACACTCTATAGGGGGTGGGTGGCTCCAAGAGCTTCCAAGTGGGGCATGGAAACTGGCAAAGGAAAGTGATATAAACATTTGAGTCCCTGGGGAGAGACAAAGTGGTAGGCAGCAAGGAAGTTGGTATAGCCCTGTTGGGGAATAAAAAGAAAAGCTGGGGAGGCAAGCAGACAGAGGCCAACCTCAGGGCCATGAGCATGGACCAAGGATATCATGCTATTCTCTAGTTTTGGAGTTTGGAGCACAGAAGCACTGTGTTCAAAATGTTAGAAAGTTCTAAAGGTCCCAGGAGACACACAGAGAGGAGTATGCCCGCACTGCGAAAGCCTACTCCCCCCTCCCTACAGATACACATGCTTCCCAGTCTGGGGATATTTAAGTATCTATCCGGTCTAAGCACATGCCACAAGTGGCAGCTCCACTCACACTATACCCTGCTCTATCCACTTAGCATATATCCTGATGGCCTGTCAGTACCACGTTCTCTTTAATGACACACAGCATATCATCATTTGGATGCCTTGACTGGCCCAAATTTGAGCCTATCATTTGGGCTTAAAGCTATTTCAACGAGCAAATGGGTGGCAGCCCATCCACAAACTGTGGCAGCATTCTCCATGGTGGGTCCTGGCAACCTCGGTTCCCCAGGAACAGAGTAAATAAGAGAGTGTGATTAAATAAGCTGGGGGACACCAAATTAAACCAAAATAAAGAAGATTTTATTCTGCCTTGTTTATGCTTTCTGTTTTCATGCCATTGTCTCTGAGAAGAGGGTGGTAGTGGTCCCAATTTATTGGGCCATGGAACCTTGTGTTGCCTGAGTTCCTGAGGACACAGAGTGGTGAGCAGAACACATTTAGAGACCCTGGAAGGCAGATAAAATATCTCTCCAGTGCAGCTCACTGGAGCAGCCCAGCAGAGGGGATGGCAGGAGAGCTTAGGTGAGAGGGGGAGGCAGACATGGTCTCCATGGCTGCTCCAGTGGCTGTTGAGCTGTGGGGCATGAGAGACAGAACAAGGGGGCACAGATGCCTCCACGGTGGGAGGCTGAGCAACTGGCAGATGATTTGCATGTGTTCAAGAAAGCATTCAGCTGGGAATAAAGCCAATCGTTCAGCATAAATGAAATACAGGACCTCTCCAGGGGAGTGATGAGAGAGGCTTTGGACAAACTATTTCCAGAAGATCCTCTTGAACTCCTGATTTTAAGAACAGACCTTTAATACCCATGTCCTGTCTGGGAGCAAAGCACATGGCGGGGATCCAGATCCTCCCAGTCTACTGCCTCTACTAACCAGAACGTACAGATTATTGATGATGATGTGGACAGGAATGCATGCATGCAATCTCAATGTGTCTACAAAGAAATTCTCCAGTGCTTCTTTAAGGTTAATGATCTTAAGGTTTTGCATTTAAACCATGGATGAAACAAGTCAGTAATCACGTTACCCTTCTCAAGACAACCTGGGGAGACAGAAGCAACCTCACGTTTCCTGGCTACCAAAGGTGTCCTAGTGACTGGGCTAGCTCTTCTCAGACACTGTTTTACTTAATCCTCCCTATACACAAGCTTGTAAATTAATTGCCTCCATTTTATAGACAAGGCAGCACAGGCACGGGAGCTTGAAAATTGCCTCCTTTCCCAAAGCCAACAAATGCAACCAGAAGCAAATCTACTTTCCTTGTTGTCCAGAAAATACTAAACAAAAAATCATACCAACTACTTTAGGTTCTGATGTCATGCTAAAAAGGTACTTGTTTACATAAGAGCAAAGAGGGTGAGAGAAAAATGGTTCATTGGGGCAGCACCTGTGGCTCAAAGGAGTAGGGCGCCAGCCCCATACACTGGAGATGATGGGTTCAAACCTGACCCTGGCCAAAAACTGCAAAAAAGAAAAGAAAAATGGTTCACACACTACGATAATGTGAATAAATGACACATAATTAAGAAACAGGGGCTGTGAGTAAGGGCTATCTCCTTGTTCATTTATTTATTTATATTAGAGACAGAGTCTCATTCTGGCACCTGGGGAGAATGCCATTGTGTCATCATAGCTCACAGAAACCTTAAACTCCTGGGCTCAAGTGATCCTCCTGCATCAGCCTCCCAAGTAGGTGGGATTACACCATAATGCCTGGCCAATTTTTCTATTTTTAGTAAAGATAGGGTCTTGCTCTTGCTCTGGCTGATCTCAAACTCCTGAGCTCAAGGGATGCTCCTGCCTTGGCCTTCCAGAGTGCTAGGATTACAGGCATAAGCCACTATACTGGGCCAGAGCTATTTCTAAATGTAGCCATTCAAGCTATGACAGCTGAGGAGGGAAATGTTAGTCACAGCATACCTCATTTTGCATGAGTAATGAATTCGGACATCTAGGGGTACAAATGCTGCTCTCGGGCAATGACTACATGAACCTGTTTTAATTAAGATGTTTGAAAAGCAGCTCCTTATTACATGTTCCAGTAGCTCCGGGCAGAAGAGACCCAACCCACATTGAGCTGTGGGTGGAGGTAAGGGAGGCTGCAGCAATTAGACACAGACCAGCACCCCAAGAAGGAGGACCCTTCCTTCCCACACTGTGCTTGTTTTATCTGAGCTGCAAAGGAAAAGCAGCAGTACCATTTATTGGTTTCCTTTTCATTTTTGGAAGTGTTGCTTCCCTGAGCTCAGTTCTGCAATTAAGTGGAGGAACTCCTTAGGATGGACAGAGGCTTAGGGTTCTGGCACAGACCTTAGTCACTAACACTATACTACAAACCGAAGTTTCTGAAATTTTAAAGCCCCTAATAAATGCTTTTATTCTGACAGAGGGAAAGGCAAGAATCTACCTCCTCCTGCTAAAAACCTTACTAGAGCCTCCTGACTTCGGAAACTGAAGGCACTTCCAGGGAGAACACCGAGACCGGTGGCAGAAATCACAGTGGCTGAGGTTTTATAGGGAACTTAACATATGCTCCATTTGAAATTTATTGGGTGCTTACTTTATGCCAGGCAATGTGCTAGGCCCCAGGGAAATAGACATGAAAGACCTGAGGGAATAATTAGGCTCAGGGGAAACAGGTAAGCAATGACAACATGGCACGATGTGCCCCAGGCAGAAGAGGCTTTGGGGACACAAAGGAAGGACACCTGATTCAGACAGAGGGCTGGCAGGCGTCCCAAAGGAGAGCTCCCTGGGCTGAGTAGAAGAAAGAAGGCCATCAGCCAGAGAGCAGCAGAGAGGCATGGCTGGAGTGGCCATGTGGAGAGAGCCTGTGGTACCCCATGGACTGTGCTGGATTTGAAACTCAACCTGGTGGGCAGGAGCAGGCAGGGGAAAGCTCATGCAGAAACCAGATCTCTGGGGTCTTACAGATTGTGTGAACTTCATCCTAAACACTAGCATGAGCTGGGAGGGGGTTAAAATGATGCTAGACAGAAGCTGTATTATAAAAATCCCTCTTGCTACTTGGATTGATGGGGGAAAGGAGGCTAGCATGGAGGTCCTATGAGGCTGTGATCTAGAAGATTCTTTTCGTTTTATTTAGCAAGTAGATTTATGAACCTAGGACTGAAGAGAAGCAGGCTAGGGAGGTGCTGCCAGGAGGGATTCAGGGGGAAAGAAATAGGAGGTACCAGGACCTAGCAGTGGGGATGGAGAAAAGGGGACCCTATCTACCCAGATAGGAGAGGATATACATTGCTGTTTAGGAGAAACACCCTGGTGACTCAATTCCAACTCCTATTCAATGGCCCTAAATAAGTTGGACCTGAACATACCCCCTGACTCGCCACACGACTTAAAAACCTACCTCACCACTGCTTGTCTCCACCAAAAAATGAAACGTTTTTCTCTTCCTTAGCTACCCAGCAGCACAGGGGTAAATTAAATGAAAACAGGAAGGGTTGGCCACACTCTAAATTGGCAAATAACACAGAAGGTCAGCAAATAAGCAGTTAGCATTAAGTCAGATAATTGCTTTGGGGAAAATCCTTTTAAGTACTTTTTAAAGACACTTCGGTATTTCTCATTTTCCAAATATGTGATCTTTTTTGTCCCCTCCATCCTCTCTCCCTTCTTACTCTTCACCCAACCCTA